AAAGAAATTATATTTTTTTTTGTCGTCATCAACGTTGTTTTTACCTTCTTCATCTATTGTGTTCTACTAAGGCAGTCATGCTTTCAACAGAGACTCAATTACCTCTCAACAGAAACGAATACAATATCTTTTCACAAAAAGATAATGTCTATATCATTTTTTTTCGCTCACATGAGATAATATGCTTTTATATCCCGCTAGTCATGACAGACATCTGGATACATAAGAAAAAACTTCCATATTCTTCAGTTATATTCTATACCGTAATATTAACTCTAATCCTCGACCTACAAAAACAATCTCTTCTGATAAATCCTTCTCTACATCACCGAACACAACTTAACATTAGCATCAAACTCGTCCGTCGTATTGAGAAGACCTTTCAAGCTTCTTCTTTCTTAAGCACATTGAGGATGTGGGATGTGGGTGTGGGTTGGTGTGGATGTCGGTATGGGTGTGACTGTGGGTCTTCTTTTTGATAATACCAACTCACACACTCGCCCACACTCACACTCCCACCCGCATCTGCACCCACAGTCACACTCCGTAGCCACACATACACCCACACCCACCCTTTCGGTTTCTCATTGAGTTCATGCAATTCTTAAAGTCTCTGTGCTCTGCTGAGTCTTGGTTTGCATAAAAAAATTCTCAAGACCCATAGACTTTAATCATGATAGTCTTAAAGAAGAAATCACATTTGAATGGGCAGCTTTTGGCCATAATGGAGAGTGTGGGTACGGATGTTGATTATATCTTAACTCATAGCCACCCACCCCAATTGACATTCATCATATTTAAACAGTGAGATACGATTTTGCTTCTCATTTGCGTCAATCCTCTACATTTGAGTTGATTGCTTCTTCCTGCTGCCTTAGTAGAACACAATAGATGAAGAAGGTAAAAACAACGTTGATGACGACAAAAAAAAATATAATTTCTTTTTCTATTGCTGTCGATGACATTAAAGTGTAAACATGCTCCACATTCTCGCTTATACATTTACAATTCTACAAAAAGAAGTATGTCGATTTTAATATGACATCAGAATTATGGACAATTTATTATATGAATTAACTATAGATTTTTAATTGAGATTAGTCTTTTGAAAAAAACGAAAAATTAATAGATACACTATATATATGTGCCTGCTAATAAATATTATACCATTCCTTGTACAGCTTTCCACGCTGATCGTGTTGAAATTTTATTCCACCACTGCTTGACGTGTGGTCGAGATGTGAATAATTCAGCTTCTCCGCATTGGACAAGAAATGAACCCACTGGCAAATGGAATAAATCCGCAAGAGTAAATGTCTAGGTAATAAAACAACAACATCAACAGCAATAACTACGTTGTTTTTAACGCTATTTAATGAAGTCTCATTCGACTTACATTTCCTCCTAGATAGGGTTGTGAAGACAACATTTTTTCGTAGACATCCAAATTTTCGGCTAAACTTCGTCGTAGTCCAGCTACTTTGTTCATGTCTGGTTCACCACCTCGCATTCTATTATGAAAAACATGAATTATAATACAATACGATTGAACTATCCTACTTTTTGTATACACGTTCTTGGACAATATCAGTTGCAGATGGATCAAAATAGGATGTTTCAATTGATGCAGCTTGTTCAAAAAGAGCTTCAGTTTTTGCATTATTTTTTGGAATTAATTCAGTGCCTTTGCCTTTATAATTCAATTCTAAATATCGACAGATTGCTCGAGATTCTAAATGAAAGAAGTATTCAAATCAATGTTATTCAGTACAATCTGATACTAAATGAGCTAACCATAGATTATAAAGCCATCAACATCGACAAGTGCAGGAATACCACCAAACGGTTGTTTTTCCAAATATGATCGACTCTATGTCAATGCATGGTGAATATAGATAAGGCAACTATCGTTTAGCTCTTACTAGATTTTCACCAGTTCTTATATCGATAATTTTTAGCTCATATTTGAGACCCTTTTCTATCAATGTAGCCAATACACGTTGTGTAGCAATCGACTGGTACAAACCATATACAACAATCACGCCTTTTGTATCACCCGATGACTTTAATTCAATCAATATTTCAATGTTGATTCACACATCCGTCTTAATTTTTTCAAAACTTACTCGCATATTGTTCATATGATGAGCCGATTGCTCGGAAGAAACACTTGGTGAACAACCCATTTAAGTATCCGACAAAAATTCCAAAACGCACATATATACACACATGTACATAGTGTATATATATATATATACATGAATTGGCTGGTTAGTAATGGTTAATAACAGTTTTGAAAAAATGCTCTGTCATGATCGTGCAGTGGCATTTTGATGCTTGGAGAGAGTTTGATTACAAGCAATTGCGAGCCAGGTAGACAAACAGAAGAAAAAAACTTCAATCGTCATTATTATGTCAATCTCACAAAACTCGTGACAATGCAAAAAAAAAGAAAATAATTGGCTAGCACCGACAAAAACCACCATCATAATGATGAAACAAGTTTTTTAGAGCAGCTTATCTAAATAAAAAACAAGGGTGGGTTGTGGATGTGGGTGTTCCTTTTCTCTTTATTCACTTCCCACACCGACACCCTATATGTTAGATTTTGAATTATGTTCGACTCGGTTGGTGCATTTTGTTAGTAATTTGTTTGGGTAAGAGAAAAACATTTCAAAGCTACAAATAGTTTGCTAAGTAAAAATATGGGATGCCCAATTAATTAAAAGTTTCTTAGTAAAAAAAATATTTGGCAAGTTTGATAATTAATAACTAAGTAAAAAGATTTTTGTTAAGTTAATAAATCGAAATTATACTAAAAAAGTAAAATCGCTAAGTAAAAATTATTACTACTAATTAATTTTTGAATAAAGACTAAATACGTCTATCTAAGATAGGAAGAATATTTTATGGTGGTGTGACGTATATGTTTTGTAATATACATTCTATCTTTTCACTTTCTTCTGTCAGTATGAAAGTATCATCTTGATATATGTGTATTTCACCTATATTTTTCTTTTTTGTGTCATACTTGAATACATACAATTTTTCTTCAAGAATGCTTCAATACAATCATTTCTTTTCTCTCTGTCCCCTGTTTCTTCTGTACATGATCTGTATCAGTCTTTGAAGATTTTTTTCATGTTTCCCATTTTCTTGTAAGTTGTCACTGACGGTTTTTGATAGAAGAAGTATTAGAACTGATGAAGTTATGCTTTATTTGGATTGTTCGTATCGCTAATCACCTCGTTCTGATAAAAGGCACATGTTTATATATGTCAGCAAGAGAGAAAAGAGATACGAGCAGAAAGAAGGAAGAGGCAACACAATAATAAAGAACGATCGCAAGAGTCTACACATATTAGTGTTATGTGTCGCAAAAACTACAAATAGTCAATAACAAGAATACTGTTATGAGAAAAGGAAGGACGAAGAATAAGATAACAAGAAATAGCAAGAGAAGGTTATCTTCAGTTGGTACTATTGAAAAGTACGAGAAGATAATGGTACATTATAAATTCAGCGGGGATGGTCACAGTCACACACACCCTATCCACCTTGTTTTTGTCTAAGTATGTGCCATTGAAAGTTTACTTCAAATTTAGGGTGTGGTTATGTATAGGTTTAGAATGTTGGTGTCTGTGAATCTTAGTCTTCTTTTCAGAAACACACGTGTCCCTAGATTCCATCAAAGTAAAAACTCGAACGGTACTGCTGTTCTAGTTGCTTCAAAGAATGTATTTGCAAACATATTATTGGTATGGCTATTAAGTTGAAGTTTTATAAACTAGCTCCATCAACAAAAGATATACCTTTGGATGACAAAAGAAAACGAGGATGACCATGGACAATAAAAAAGCTCTATTAGTACAATAACTATACAATTAAATTTTTTAGATATTTATATCTCTCTACTTAACAAAAATTGTATATTTACCTAGAGATTTACAATATTTTGTCTAGAAAATGAAACTTGTTCCCTTAGAATTAAAATAAAAAACTTTAAAAAAATTTTCTTTTTAATACTTCAATTTCATTCATATATGGTAATGTAATACAATATATATTTTTTGATTTTGTATTTTAAGTTTATTCTTTTGTTGATTCTGTTTTTCTTATTGCATTCTTCAGATTTTTCTCAATCATATATGATGAGTAATTAGAATTTATAAGTATTGCTTTTTAATTTATCTCAACCTTCATTTTGTTCCTTCTTGTTTTTTATTGTTTTCTATGATGTTTGATGTCATATTTTGGATCATGTTGATTTTAATCGATGGACTATGATTTGAGTTATAGT